ACCACCATCTGGTTTTCAAGTTAATCCACCAGTTAAGATTCTGATTCAGTCATCTTAATTTTCAAGATTAATGTTATTACCTACCTTTTTGAGTTCTTAGACTCATAACTTTTGATAGAAAGCAGCTTTGCCATGCGAAAGTGAAGACTTGGAGACATGTTTCTATAAGCAAAAGTAGTTTCCAGGAACTCTAAATAATAATCAAAACCCTTTTTTCGGCGACGCGTAGTTGTAGCCCGCAAATTTCTGATATAAATGAGACATCTCCCAGCTCTACATGACCTTTCTTTGCAAAGTTATAGAATTTACAAGGAAAGCCCTAAATTAATTTCTTCTTATTTCTGTGGCTTCGAGTTGACAATGAATATTTAGGGCTTTTCTTGTAAATTCTATAACTTTGCAAAGAAAGGTCATGTAGAACTGGGAGATGTCTCATTTTAATCAGAAATTTGCGGGCTACAAGTACAACTCGCCGATAAAAGGGTTTTGATTATTATATAGAGTGCCTGAAAACTGGTTTTTCAGAAAACCGGATCTTCAAGAGAAATGGGCACGGATCCTTTTAGGGTATTTACTACCTAGATATACTCTATCGATCGGGAAAAAATCGGAGTACCTCACTTGGGAATGTTCTCTCGTAAATGTCTTCTCTTCACGGACGAAGTTTGACGAAGATCTGACGAGTAGTTTTCGTGAAAATCGAGCTCAAAGTCGAAAATTTTGGTCGGTGCCAACACCTTGTAAGCCTAATAACTCAAAAAGACAAAGAGCTTCAGAGCTCAGCTTTCTTCTGTTAAAAAGTCCTTGGAACGACATCGAATCGAATGGTCCTCTCAAAACTTTTGTAACGTGTTTCGTTAAAACAAAACAAACATCTCCGGCGAGGGTTTTTGCTAAATCGCGCTTTTCGACTCAGTTTCCAGCCAAAGCGCAAACTCTGAACCGAAAAAAAATGAATCCTTACACAACTCGACAAGTATTTCAAAACCAACATAGAAAGAAATTGTCGGCTGAAAGTCGATGTAAATCTGGGAGAACCTATGTGAAAGCACCCTATTGATATTTGATGAAAAAAAAAGCGAACAGCATTAAAAATATAATCTATCTTCTGAAGTCTGGAAGGCACATACGATGTTCTTTTTTGATATGGTGATGCTCTTTTTCGTCACGGTGATGTTCTTTTTCTTCCACCAAAGCTTTATTGATTTTTGAAGACAAACGAAAATATAAAAAATTGAAAACAAAACAAATGCGTTCACCTCGCGCCTGAATGAATGAATGAATGATGATGGTGCCGTCGGAGCCTCGTCCCAAATAAAAACTTGTGTGTTTCTAATAGCTTGAGCTTCGTTGCTATTTGGTCGAATACTGGATGTGAAGTTTTCGAAGAAAGGCATAGGTAGTTTGAACCGGCTGTGAACTGTTCTTCCTTCTGGTAGTAAGTTTGCTGTAATTCCCGTCCATGCAACGGTCGTAACACTAACATCATGACCCTTTAATAGATGACACAATGTGTTGTACAAATAGGTCTTTCCAATACCGCCAGGTCCATCTACAAAGAAGCATGCAGTGGTAAATAATCCAATTGCAGCAATACCTCACTTTGCCTATGTTCAGCATCGGGGAGGAATTGTATATCAATTTTTGAAAAAAGATACACCACAGGTGTTAATGGATGCTTATAATAACGGAGAATGTGATGCAACTGCTTTCAATGGGAACTACAAAGTAGACATTTCTTTTTAATTTTAATCAAATGGGCCAATTTTTTTTGTCCATGATAGAGGAATGTTCAAAGTTTTTGTTCATAAGAGAAACGTCGATAAATGTTGCGTTAAAATTAAGTCATGAATATATGAAATAAAATTGATCAATTTTAACCAATAATCAAAAATATGATCTACGTGAATGTTATACTGTTACGACAACGAAACTCAATGAACCTTGGATATTTTTCCATAGAACTAATCGCTAGATGACGCTCTTCTTATGGTAAAATTTTCAAACAAAACCGTAAGGGAAAAGAACTGGAAGCCGAAGGTGCCTCACGAATTTTTCAACGCTCAGTCAGCAAAGGTTTACGTTATAAATGGTTAGTTTGTGATGACGATTCAACGGCTTATGATAAAGTAAAAAATATATATATTGAGCAAGAAACAGCTGCTGAAGAAGATGGCATAGACAATAATGATAAACGAAATCAAGATGATAATGAATTGATGGTTTTAAAATTAGATTGTATTAATCACGTAAAAAAACGTGTTATAAGTAGATTAAAAGATATAAAATCAAGAAATACTGGTTTTCAAGACGTGTTACGAGATGTGGCATCAACATCAACAACAGTACCAGTAGCACATAATACGACAAAAATGAAAACAGATCAATCATCTTGTACAATAGACAAAGGACGGCAACCCAGAGAAGCAGTTCGAATGAAGAAAACTGTACCCGATGGAAAACCATTTCGTGGCTCAGCTGGACATATGACTGATGCTATGATGCACAAAATGTCCGAAATGTATAGCCTTGCGATACGGCAAGGAACTGTCCTCAGTATTAAAAATAAGACCTCATGAAAAAAATTTTGTGCGTTATGTTTTCATTTATAGAAAACGAACATGTAGGTGACGAAAGTCTCAGTGAATTTTTCGCTAATGAACGGAGAAATAGTCGGTTTTTTGACATCATAAATGATTTCAACCGGATTTTTTTTCAGAAAAAATAAAAAATAAAGAAAAGTGAATCG